GGCTTGCTACTGTCTTTTTTTCATAATTTAATGTTTTGGAGAAAATATGAACAAAAAATGAAAGAGTTGTAAAGAATTATTAAAGTTGGTAAGAAATGTTAATGTTGTTATTTAAGTAATCTTTAAAATCCACTATTGCCTAGGAGAAGCACGTTCATACCATCTTATATCGTGCCAGGAAGAAATTAACTGTCCCACAAGAGGCATCCAGTACATCTATGTTCTGAATTGATATTTCAATATTTTCATTACACAGGACTGTTTTTTTAATTTGATTTCCTATTTCAGCAATTCTTGGGTACTATTTGGAGGTATGCAACTTAGGATTGAAGGGCCTGAAACAGCTTCGCCTGGCTTTATATAGCACTTCAGAGTAACATCACTAACATGGGATACCCACACCGACTGCTCACGGGCAGTCTCGGTAGTCTCTCCATAAGTAGAATATGATTTTTTGTTTAGGTTTTTTAAAAAATATGTCAAAAATGCCCTTCTATAAATTTTCAGCATATGACCTCCCAAGTCTTTTGAAAATATCCTGCTGTGCTAATGCTCTTAGATGGATTTTTTTAAAGTGAAAAAATAATATCAAACAAAATTCATTCTTCCGTAACGGCTTAATGTATGGCATTTTCGGGTCGAGTTATTCGCTGATTTAAAATAATTTTTTATTTTTTTTTTTAGATTTTTACTTCTTTCATCAACAAACTTTTAAAAAAGACAATCCTCCGCACCTGTACGAGGAAATTTCTTATTTCTTTGGTAAACCGAAACGTTCATTTGATACAGTTTCTGTATAAGCTTTCGTCAATCTAGTCTTTCGCGTTTTTCATACAACACGAACATTTTTTTGTTTCTCATCCAGCTTTTCCTTTATGTGCATTTTTCTTTTTTTCGAAGTCTTTTTCTCCTGGCAAGATATTTGCATATTTTGATCAGCTATAAATTCATAGTCTATTTCTCCATCTATGCAGCTGACAGCTTTTTTAGTTGCTTTGGCCAATACTGCATCGTTGACGTTCAGCCTGCTGATGATCTTAACATTCGTTTTGTCTCCTGAAGGGATTACCAACTTAATGGCTGTCTTGGCAAGAGCTCGTGACAAGGCTTTTTTGCTGTTTTGTGAGATCACTGTATGTATTGTGAGCATTATCACTTCATCTGGAACGGTATTACTGCTAAACCGTGGTGATATGATGCTTTATCGCTTCCCTAATAAGATACGTATTGAAACTGTTTTATGAATTTCAAGTTGTTACTTTTCTGATGACGTTTTTATGTTCGTTTGCTCACAGTTATGTATAACTAAATGTTCATGTCTTTGTTCATTTCACTGTAAAAGCGGTAAGCATTTAGTGAGCTATATAGTACTGCTACAAATTATGGTTGCTGTCAATCCGCTTCATATAAGCACGTTGTGTATTTAACAATGCTTGTATGCCATTCAGTAATCCGCTTTGTTCATCTGTTGTGTCTCATCCTCTCACATTATGAAGCCGGACTTTCTTTTTTGCCGCACCTTATCTTAACAGAATCATTCTCACCAAAT